GGGTAGCCAGTGGTGACAGCGCTGAGGCACTGAGGGGATTGCGTGTCAGTGGGCGATCCTTGAGGGAGTGGTGTGGATCACTTTTCTAACAGTCTACTGCGGCGATCTTCTAAGTTGGAGTGTGGTTTATATGGCTTTCTTGAGTGTGCCGCTTGCTATCTTTGGTTCAGCTTCACTCAAGGTCAGTTAGCCTGACTCAGTCCTCTTCACACCTGTGTGAACCCACACTTGCTTGACCCTGTCCTTTGAATGTTCACTGAAAAGGTAGAGGAAGCTGTGTTTTGTTCGCACGTGTGAATGAAAGTCTGACATGAGCTTGGGACTGCATTGTTTTCCTTTGAACTTGTTGTTTGATATGATGTGCAGGTAGGTAGAAGAATGCTTGGGAAAAAAAGGGGGACCTATTCATGTCAATGGAAGTGAATGGAAGGGTGGTTGTCTTTTACTTTCTCGCCTGCATGCATGTTGAAAGGAAAGGCAGCCAGTAGACGACGAAAAAGAATTTGATCACACAAAGAAGAGGAAGTGAATTGGACATAGAATTTTTTTCTAACGTTACCCATTATTTCCCGAATGACCCTCTTCGTCTATGCCCGTTTGTCTGAATGTTTTTTCTTCTCTATGATCTCCTTCTTCGTCTAGGTTCGCCCTTGACGTCAGGCGACAAAGGGCTGACCGCCTACTGTGGTAAGCGCATTTCCTTTCCCTAGGAGGCGTCTGGGGCGGGGGTTCGTTGCCTTAGGGGCCGACCCTGTTAACGACTCGGAGTGGACCGCTCAGGCGGGGGGATACCATGCTGTTGTGGTGGAGCCAGCCCGACTTCTGAGATCCAAGGTTCGCTCGGGTGAGGACGAGGGGTATCCCAGACCACCTCCTAGGGGATGGACGTGTGCCATTCACGGAGGGCGTTAAGTTTTTGGCGGCTCATGTTAAGAAGAGACGCTATAATTTACCCTTCTAGTGGCCGTCTTAGGAGCCACAGACGAATGGGGAACTGACGCCTTAAGAAACCCGGTTCACTAGCTGTGGACGAAGTGCGAGTAGGCACTACCCTCGCGGATAGGTTTGCATCACAAGAAGTGCAAGCCTGGGGTAATCAGGCTAGTTGACAGGAAAATATGGCTAGAGCATTCCTTTGAATGTCTTTATGTCGAAGATTGGTACTTCGTCATTCGCGGAACAGAGAGAGTAATTACTGCCCAAGAGGATAAAACGACCAAAAAAATTTGAAAGCGGGTCCTTGTCTTTAATGGGGCATCGAGCGTCCGATTGTTCGAGTTGGTCGCTGATTTGTATAGGTGGTAGCTGAGTTATTTGCAGGTGGCATTCACACCAAAGTTAGAGAAGTAGTGAAATCATCATTAAAATAATGACACTCTAACTCTGCTTGAGAGTCGGGGCGCTCATATTCCTCGCTAGCAGTCAGTATGGGGCAGGATGAAAGAACTTGGCAACGCATCTGATCGAGTCGAAAAAGTCGAGACAGTTCAACCATTTGGCAGGCAGCGTGAAGATATTTTAGTCAGACGCCATTCAAGCGTCGCTACGCATGTAAGTCATGCCTTTTTTTATCCGGTTGTTGATAAGTGAGGTTCGAAGACGAGTGAACTCATGTTGCCTCGTCGTTGGATGAAAGTCAAGTCAACCTTTGTCGATTGGATTGAAGCGATTGGTATGCGTGATTGTATTGTATGTAGGATGATTTTGGAAGGTAATTCAACTTACATTGACATGACTCTTTTGTAACATTTTGATTGTCCTTGAAAGAAGGGGCTAGAATTGATTGAGGTTTTCTTACGCTTGGAATATCACGTCCTAGTCGACCGACGTCGGTCCGATTGCTGGGAGATCAGCGCCCCAGGGACGGACGACGTTTGGGTCCACTTTGGCGTTTAACCATGCGTACCTATGCTACAGCGAACGAGCAAACGCCTTCGATTGACCTACCTCTACGATTGCATTATAAAAGCTTTCGCATGTGGGTCGGTAGCTCGGCGGGGATACGCCCCTAAGGGTGGTGACAGCCCCTCAGGGAAGGTAAGTTGTGCCCCGCGAGAACCTATCCTGTCGTAGGGGACCGCGGGATGTACAGCTGGCGCACTCGGCCGGAGCGGCGAAGGGTCGACGCGGGTTAGCGTGTCGTCCTCGAGTTGTCTCTTAAAAGTTGAAAGACTAAGTTTCTCCTGCGTGACGCGACCGGGAGGGCCCTCGCTCGCACGGGGGCCGATGTGCTCGACAGGTGGCGCCGTTGTCGGTGATAACGGCAAACTATCGTTGTCCCTGGTGGAACGATACTCGGGAATGGAGCAAGTAAAAGATTGTGCCGTAGTGGTTGTCTAAGAAAAAAGGTTAGTAATCTCTGAGCCTCTATAAATGTAAGGGAGGAACCTTAATAGATGTCACAAAAACTCCTAGACTGATGTCTTGGGTTTATGTTTCTAGATGGACGGTGCCGCAGGACGTCGCGACAACGTCGACGATGGGAGAAACGATATTCAGGAATTGGCACGGGTCATTCGACAGTCACAGCGAGAGCCCTACCCCAAGATTGATGTTCCATTGTTCGATGGGAATCATGSCTCTTCTTGGGCAGATAAGTTTGAGCAACTCGGGTATAGCAACGAATGGACGRATGAGAAGATGCTTCGCATGGTAAAAGGGTACTGGCAGGTGGGGTACCAAGACGAGATCGATGAGCTGGTGCAGATCTCTCGCGATTAGTCAGATTTTAAAGCGCGGTTGTTGGAGAAGTATCCGCTCAGCGATTGGTTGCTCGACCTGCAGGATTTGAGGGCGGTGGATCGTAAAAAGTTTGGTACAACCAAACAATTTTTATCGGAGTTTGAGTAAGTGGCTCGCCTAATCCCGGATTTGTCCGACAAAGATTGCTGCCTCATCTTCCTTGATGACTTCAACGACGTCGAACAATCGAAATTGGTTGAAGGGATGCAAGGGAGGTATGACTGGACTAAGGTCCGGCAGAATGCGCTGGTGGGGAAGTTCGACGATATCCTCTACCGGCTGTTGAGGCAGCAAGCGGGAAAAGGTGAAGCTGGGAGAAGTAAGGGACGGTGAAATTTACAAAACTTTGACTTGCATGAGAGAAATGATGGAGGGCATGAAGGAGGAAAGGCTGAAGCTTCAAGTTATGTTGGCCAAAGGGAAAAATAGTAAGAGGAAGGGGAAAGAGCCGACGAAAGAAGAAAGTGACAGTGAGAGCGAGGAGGAAAAAGAGCCGCCTCGCAAGTTGACAAAGGCGGAGAGGAAGGTCTTGAATCAAATTCAAGGCGGACAGGGGACCTCCCGTAAACAGGGGAGGAATGGTGGACAGAATAATCAAGGAGGGAATGGCAATGTTGGCACTGGTTCGTCAGGACAAAGTTCCCAAGATCAACGGCAGTTCCAGCCGCAGGGTGGAAGAGGCCGCGGTCGAGGCCGTGGAAACAGACAGCGAAGCCGTTGGGCGTGGCAGCAGGAAGCCACATGTAACTATTGCGCAGAAAAATACCATATTATGCGGTTTTGCCAACTCCTTTCAAAAGATGAGAAGGAAGGGATAGTCTTCACTACTATACATGGTGAAATCTTTGATTACGAAGGGAATTCGATCGACCCCAACATTGAAGGGGGTATGAGGAAGGAGGCGTATCGCCGAATGGGTCGTCCGCTACTAGCAACGTTCCAGGTTGCTTCTCCTGAAGAAGCACGGTTGGCCGAGGTCGAGGAGGTCATGGCGTCATTGCATATCTACGACTCACTGGTGGAGCCAGAAGGATTCAGGGAACAACTAGTGGAACGAGCTCAAACCATCACTAGGCGACTTGCCCGATGCCGGGACTCTATCATCCGACTTTATGTGGACATGGAGGAAGTCTGGCCTGGATTGCCGAATGTCTTTCTCTTTGGCGAATGGGGTGATAAAAGGGAAGATGCGTCTGGCCAAGCAGGGACATCRGCTCCGAGAGAAACATCACAAACTGGGCCAATGGTAAGCACGATGCGACCTAGGCCTGTGCTAAAGAGGAGTGCCCCGACTGTAGCCGTTCAGACTCGGGTGCGGCGACGAAACGAACAGCTTCAAAAGGAGAAAGAGTCTGAAAAGGCATTGGAAGAAGGGCCTATTTCCATTAGTGAGAACGAAGAGGACAATGAGGACGAGAAGTTGCGGGCCGAAGAGGAAGAACGGGTTCGTCGTCGTGCACTGGAAAGGGAGCCGGAGAAAGGGAAGGCTGAAGTAAGCGAGGAGGAGCCACGAAAGAAGAAGAATATTTATTCGATCCCCGTGAAGCAGGGGGTCGATATCGAGCAACTTGTTAATAAGATTCTGGAAAGTCAGCGCGACTTGGTCACGCTGAAGGAAATTTTGGCGGTATCGCCGAAAATTCGAGAAGAGTTTAAACAGCGGATAACTCGTAAGAGAGTCATGACTGTTAAGCTCGACGAAATCATTCCGCGGGAGGCTAACTGGTCCCCGCCTGGAACAAAGATGGATTGGCGAAGTGTGTCGACTGGCCATATGAAGGTCCAGATTGGACAGCAGGAGTACTCAGCACTGGTGGATGATGGAGCCGAGATGAATATCATTCGTGAGCGCCATGCCATCGAAGCTGGGTTGAAGATCAACCGAGATGACTATGGGTTTTTGGTGGGAGCAAGTGGATCAACTCCATTTTGTGGAACAACCAGTGACATTCTCGTCACGATCGGAAAGGTCAAGGTCCGTTCGTATTTCTACGTGTTACCTAGAGTGGAACACGAGGTGCTTCTGGAAAGGGCATTCCTATGTCGATCGGAAAGCATCATCGTTAACAAGCATGATGGAACCATGTTTGTAATCCTTTGTGATCTTGTCTGCGGTTATTACGAAGTGGTCAAGTGTGCGAACACTGGACCCTATTGCTCGTAGAACCGGCTGAACCCGAAATCCTATAGCTTCCCGGAGTCAGAAAAGTTGAGACGGGAGAAGGAATCGTTAGGGGAGGAGCCGAATCCTCGTGAGTTCTCGCTGACCCTGCCTGATATTGGGCAGGCAATCGATCTCGTGTCGACACATGCGGCGATCGATCCGAATGTGGTACAAGCCTTGACGGAGATCATCATGGACATCGGAAGCACAGGGACTATGCGCCTTGTTTACTCCCCGTCGGAAGGTAATAAGGGAGAAAGTCAGGAATTGCCCTCCACTCGACAGGGTCCTTTTTTAGAGGACGCAGGCTTGACACCGACACCAAACGTAAGTACAAGAAAGTAGGCGTGAMGGCGAAGCCGRTRCCTGTTYTGATCACTCARRAGGAGGAAGTCTATTATCRTGAGGAGCGCGAGTGGATCAGAGAAATGAAAAAGAGAGGTGAAAATGGGCCATCTCGGTTAACCAAAGAAAGAGTGGAAAGTATGATCATTGGGGAGGAGGACCTCCTTACTGAGCAGGAAAAGGGATACATCATCGATATATTGAGGGAGGAACATCTCTCCTATGCGTTTGATGATGATGAGCGAGGAAGGTTGGATGTCGATAAAATCCCGATGATCGGAGTTCATACTGTACCACATGAGCCATGGAATGTAAGAGGGCCACGTTCTCCGAACCCAGAGGATCACCGTAAGGTGGTCGCATACCTCGATGGAAAGTTCCGGACAAAGGTTGCAGATTATTCTTACGGGCCGTATGTATCACCATGGTTCAGTTTCATCAAACCGAATGGTACTCTGCGATGGATTCAGGACCTTCAGAAGCTGAATTCGGTGACAGTGCGAGATGCAGGAGGACTTCCACATGCAGACCTACTGTCAGAATCTTGTGCAGAAAGGTCTATCATCACCCTGATCGATTTATATTCCGGGTATGATAAATTTCTCATTTACACTGCGGATCGGCCCAAGATGGCGATGCATACTCCTCGCGGGTTGATCCGTATGTGTGTGGCACCGCAGGGGTGGACAAATGCCGTTGCCATTGTTCAGAGATATATGACGAGGGTTATGCAGCCTTATTGTCCTAACATAACTTCGCCGTATATTGACGACTTGACTATCCCAGGGTCTCATACGAAAGACCTGGCGGAGGTGTTGCCGGGCATTCGCCGATTTGTCTGGGAACATATCAATGATGTGGTGAAAGTTCTTAAGAGGTTGAAGGAGTTTAATCTCACAGGTAGTGGGATTAAGTCTCGACACTGTATGAAGAGAGCAGTGATTCTGGGATTTCTCTACGACGAGAAAGGTCGCCGGCCGGACACGAAGAAGACTAATAAAATCTTGGAATGACCGACCCCTTTCAAGTCAATCACGGATGTGCGAAGTTTCCTCGAAACTTGTGGATTTTGGCGCATCTTCATCCGCAGGTTTGCCGCCAGAGTGGAGCACTTGCGAAAGCTTGTGCGCAAGGGCCAGAAGTGGGAATGGGGCCCGAAGTAACAAGAGGCCGTGGAGGATATAAAGACTGAGTTTCGTGAGGGCGGATTGATCCTTGGAGTTCTTTTTTTCGACGATGATGAAAAACGTCCTTTTGTTATTGAGACTGATGCGGGGCCCACAGCCCTGGGAGGAGTCTTAATTCAGAAGGATGCTGAGGGGCAGGAAAGACCTCTAAGATTTGAGAGCAGGACTCTGAATGTTGCTGAGAGGAACTATTCCCAGTTCAAAAAAGAAACTTTGGCCGTGCTTCACTGCTTCCGCATCTTTCAGAATTATGTGTTCAGTAGACGCTTCATCATGCGGGTGGATCCGACTGCATTGGCTCAATCCTTAAGGAATTATTCACCTGCTGATCCCACCATTGCACGATGGTTGACTTATATTTGGATGTTTGACTTTGAAATCGAGCGGATTTCGGGGAGTCATAATCGTGCTGATGGGTTGAGTCGGGTTGAATGGGACCCACAGGCGGATCAGGCGGAAGAATCAGTTCTGGTCGATGCCTTTCTGAAGGAAGAGGAGGCGCGATTAAGTACTAACACTCTTGCCTACCTGACTGATGCAGCCACTCGGCATGGAAAATCGATATAGAATGCTCCTGCCTTTCACGAGGTACGTTCAGAACTCGTGGTGGAGGAACCTTTCATCGAAGAGGATCCATGGGCCGAGCAGACCGCAGAGGAAATGATGAGGCTGACTTTGACCGGTGACATCGACCTTATGCTTGATCCGCTAATGATTGAACAGGGCCATACGCGGGCTGATGACGCTTTCCAGATCGTTGGAAGGATGTCATATATCATGAATTTGTTGGTTCACGAGGATCGCCTGAGGATAATGAATGCGGAGGAAGGAGGCGGTGAGGTCAAAGAAGCGTTTAAGGAAAATGAGTACAAAGGGGAATATAAGAAAATAGGCATGTGGTTGAATGGGGAATTGGGCGAAAGTGAGGTTGATCCGGTTGTGCGAGAGAAAAGCAAAGGATTCGTTGTTCGTGACAGTTATCTCTTTAAGAAGGCTGCTGATGGTGTCCCAAAGAGGGTGGTATGCGGGATCTCTCGGCAGTTGGATGTGATTGCTGCCCTGCATGATGGGGTAGCCGACGGACACAGATCTGCGCGGGTAACTTTGAACAAGATCCAACGTCTTTATTCTTGGGAAGGGATGAGCAAGATGGTGATTGACTTTTGTAAATCTTGTTTCTCTTGCCAGCAGAGGTCTAACATCCGCTACCTCGAGCCCCTGAGTCCACGTTATGTGGCAGAACCAGGTGCGGTGGTGCATTTGGATCTTTTGGTAATGCCACCTGGGATAAATGGATACAGATACATCTTTGATGCACAGGACAATTTGACTGGGTTCGTTGATGGTCGTGCCATTCGCGAACGTACTAGATCAGTCTTGGCAGAGTGCATTGAGGAATATAACCTCCGTTATCAATTTGTTCAAGAGATTGTTATGGATCGAGGAGGTGAGTTTCGAGCAAAGGAGGTGCAAACGCTTTTAAAGAGACTTGGGGTGAGTTTCAGTTATACGACGAGAGCGCATCCCCAAGCCAATGCACCCGTGAAACGAGGACATACCACCTTGTCTAACTTGTTTGCTAAATGGTGCAAGGGGGAACCATCAAGATGACCAATTTATTTGAGGGCAGCCTTTTTTGTAAAGAATGTTACCATCAAGCGAACAACCGGGTATGCTCCCGTCACATTATGGTTCGGACGGCATGCGACTTTTCCGATTGAGAGTTGCCTGACCACTTGGCAGAAACAGGACTTGGAAACAAAACTCTCAACAGAAGAGTTGTTGGAATTGGGGGCAAGATAGATCATGGTGACTGAAGAACGGATTGAAGACGCGACTGTCTCTACTTCTAAAAGCAGGCAGGCTGATAAGGAAAGATGTGACAAGAGGCCACGTGTACGAAAAGAGCCGTTGGAAGTGGGAGACATCGCGTTGTTGTATGATATGTCGCTAGAAAAATAGTAGTCCAGAAAACTAGACAGTCGGTGGCTAGGACCATATCGGATCTCTAGGAAAACAGAACATGGGGCATATGAAATAGAGAAATTGGATGGATCTCGGAGTAGAAATTGGGTATCGGGTGCACATCTACGGAAGTTTATCCCAAGAGTTTAGTTAAAACTTTTAGAAAGGAAGGGTAGAGGAGGTAAATGGTGGCATCAATTTTGGTAACCTTCTTGCTTTTGTATYATGGTTCAGTTGGTTCTGACTTTTGTCTTMGGCTAACCAAGAAAGTTGTAAAGTATTAATTGAAGTATTGAGGTTGAAAAGTTATCAATGAGATTGTGACTCTTGTTGCAAGATGATTATGATACCAAATGACTTATGATACCAAAGGACTTTCTGAGATTCTTATCATGATTGGATATTCATTGCAAGAAGCGTATTGTGAAATAGCTGATGGATACTTATATTGTTGAATTGTTCATCATATATGCGAAGGACTGGAAAAAAAAAAAAAAAAAAAAACCCTGAAATTCTTATGGGACTCCGTGTATGTGATTATGAATGTAAGAATTCGTCAGTGCGAGTCTAAGGGGATGATTGGTACTTGAGTTATATGCCTGACTAGATTAACATGCGTTTATTTGTCAGACTTGTGATTCAATTATTTATCTTCCCTTATGACTTGACTCTGTGTTAATTGTCATGCAATGAGGAATCCTAATGTTGTGAGCCCCGTAGACGGTAGTGAGGCCTGCGCCGGAACTTTGTTCCTGGTCCATAGTGGGATGCTGTCATTTCTCCTTTTGAGGGGGATGGCTACACTATCGTCTAAAGGGAGGAAGGTGGTAATATGTTTGTTGGAACCTAGCTCGTGAGGATGGCAATTACCGCTCGCCATGAGGGAAAGATTGATCACCTTTTCTTTTGTGGTGGATGGGGTCGCCTCGACTTCATGGCCGGGTCTAATCAGCTTAGGTCATAAGGGAGGGGTGGTTCAACCTTGCAGGTAGGGTACTAATGGATGTATGACACTGAAATCGGAGGGAAGGTGGTGAGGCTCGAGTCTAAAGCGGGGCTTGACGTGGAGATGTTATCCTCCATGGATTACACCACTCCTCGACGCATTCACGAGACATGTAGGAGATAAATTATGCATGGTGATTAAGTTGGAGTGGGAATTAGCCGGACTGGACAAAGACTTTTGGAAAGGGTGATTTTTCTCTGGGATGGTGACGGCACATGCTGTAGTATAGTGTGAGAGATTCCGGGGGAAGGCCTGTCAGAGGTTATTTCTGACCCCATTCCAACTCGTGACTGAAGGAAAGTGCTTTCGAAGGAAGGTTCGAAAGAATTACGAGGCTTGAAAGTGGGCCTCTATGCTAAAGGCTTGAAAGTAAGCCGTTGTTTATTAAAGGCTTGAAAGTAAGCCCTTTGCATTGATGGTAATGAAGTCTGTACGGAGAGTTTCATGAACGGTATCCGGATAATTATAAAAGGAAGGGGAGACAAACGATGGAAACATCGCTTATCGTGTATAAGTATGTAAAATCTCGGTTAATTCCAGAGGTACTGTGATTATATGATGTATGCGCTAAGGTCTTATAATAACTTCTCTTACGGTAAGCGACAGGGACGTCGCTTAATGGGGGCGGGGAAGGCTGTCGGGACAGAAACGCCTGTGAGGGTTTCTGCCCAAGTTTTTCAAGGTTAGACACTGTTCGACTTTTGTCGTTGAGGAATATGATGAGATTGACGTTGCCAAAGTTTATTCAGGCCAACCTTATAACTGAAAGACTTAAAGCCTGACGTTGTCGACGAAAGACGTCGCTGACGTGTGACGTCTTCGACGTCTGTTCCAGATAGCGAGGGTTGGCGGTACGCACTGTCGTTCGCAGTTCTCGACGAAGCCGTAGTAGTGTGCGGGCATAAAAAAACTAAAGTTAGACCTAGTCTACCTAAAATAATGGCCCCGGGGCTTGACGCCGAGCCAGGGGGTTGATAGGCCGATGCCAAGGTCACGTGGCCAACTGAGCGTGCAGGACCGTGAGTTGGCAGGGCCGGCAGGGCCACAGACAGACAGGCAGGCAGGGTTGGCAAGGCCATAGGCAGGCGGGGCCTGCACAGCCCCGGCGCGATGAATAACTACAAGGCAAGCTCTTCTTATAGAAGAGTTGCTCCTACCTATCCTGTGGTAGGAGCTAGCCAAGTAGGTTCAAGTACAGGAGTGTCACCCGGCAAATACCGGGACCGAATCTGAGAAGGAACATCCTACCGGGCTAGCTCCTTTTGGAGCAGCCCAAGGCAGCTGGGCGCGGCCGATCTCGGCCGCGTGATCCTCAAGATCGCACGGTGTCAGGCGGCCACAAGTAGTGCGCCGCTTGAAAGTGGCAGTTCTGGAACTTAGGCACAATGACAAGTCCGTGCAATGACGGTATTCTGGTTTGACCAGGCAACAAAATTAGGGGGACCCAGAGCACCCCTAAGATTGGAGGTGTCGATCGGTGAGACTAGCCCTCAGAATTGGCGAGAGAGACTACCTCTTCTACCGCGCTGGTGTCTATCTTATTTCCGCCGCTCCGAGCTTGTTTCCGAAACAACTGGCCGCAGAACGGTGATATGAGAATAGGCCTAGGCGTGGTCCCTTTTATGCTGCGCAACTGGCACRGGAATGAAGCCTCGGATTTCATTAATTTTAATATTAAAATCAAAAATGAGAAAAATAATTAAAATGGTAGACGGAAAGAAAAAAAAGGAATATTCTCCAKTTTTCTTTTGATGGAAATGCGTTTGTCTTCGTTATTTTCGATMATAGAATTAAGAAATAAGAAAAATAATTAAAAATAATTATTAAATAATCGACTGAATTTTGATGAGATTATTTGCGATCGGATTTACTCCTGGATTATTTATTTACTCTAAATCTAACGATTTTCTCTAATTCCCGGTAATCGGGATCGTTTGCGTGAGTTACCTGACTTAGCCTCGCTGCAACCTGTGTGATATGAGTGGGTGTGCGTTTGATGATCAACGCAGTATCGTTACTGGGATTATTTTGAGATGGATCGTGTGGCTTTACTATACCTTGTGCGGTTGCTGGTTTGGTTCGGGCCGGACAGTTAGGCTTGGGGCAGGTTCGGGACTATTATGACATGGCTGCACGGTCCGGCGTTGACACGATACAGCGGAMTGGCATTAGTTTTCAGGTTCGGGACAGACTCGACGCCGGTATGGTGCAGACTATTCAGGTTCGGTATTGGCATGGTAATGGTTTGATACTCCCGA